TCCAGGATTATGCGGCTTCATATTTTGCTTGCTTTGGGTGGACAGGAGTGGAGCATGATTCCTTGCCAGTTCTTGCAAACACTTAGGTCTCCCTTCTTCGGCAGTTCGACAAGGTACCCCTTCTTCCAATCCATTGACAGCTACCTCCCCTTCCTTCCACACCTTCTGCAATAGTGGTGTGGTGTGAGCATGTCCACTGTTGTCTCTGTGTCTGTTTTCACCGCTTCTGGTGGGATCCCATCTGGTCCTGCTGCTTTCCCACATTTCAGTAGCTTGATGGCGTTCAGGACTTCCATTTTTGTTGTAGGATTTATGTTCACTTGTAGTTCAGTGGCTGCGGTGCAGGTGGTATTTCTGAACGAGGTGCAGGTGGTGGTGGTAGTGGTGATGGTGGTCGATTCAAGAGCTTCTTGAAGTGATCAGCTCATCGTTTCCTTTGTTTCTCCTCTTCGGTAATTAGATTTTCTTCATCTTTTATTGGTTTCTTCTGTGTTGATTTCTTCCCTTCCGGATATTAACCTGGTTATTTGATATAGTGTTGTCAGGTCTCTGTCTCTCCTACCTGCAGCCTGTTCTGCTTCACTTGCCAGTGTGTCGTAGAAGTGTCTTTTGTCTTTCCGCGCACCCTTCTTCACTTCTTTGTCCAGTGTAGTGTTTTATGCATTGTACTCAGTTCCTCTTCTCGTTGTGCATCCTTGCACTGGTTTATCTTCTGTTTCACCATCCTCTTCTCCCTGCCCTATCAGCTTCCATGTGTCCACTGAGATGCATTCCTCATCTTCTTTCTTCCTCCTTCCTAATACGGTTGTGCAGGTTTCTTTCCACATCTTTTTCAAAGACTTCCAGTGTTCATCCACACAGGTTTCTTCACGGATGTCTCTCAATATCTCCCATTTTGTTTTGATGGCTGACGTGAAGATTTCATTTGTAGTTTCGTCCTTCAGTTCAGTTTGTGTTCTGGGTGTTGTACTTGAACTGTGGTCTATCACCAGCTTCCTTGAAGGCTTTCAACCTGATTTGGAAGGCATGTTCCTTGCACTAGATGGTGAATGGTGTTAGCCTTCATCTGCTCTTCTTCTTGACCTTGTGTCAAGTAGGCTGCATCTCCACTTTCTTCACATTGAGATGAAGTCGATCTGATTTTTAGTGTGTCTTGGTGTCTGGTGAAATCCATGTCGCTCGCTTTGTGGATATCCTTGTGCTTAAACACACTGCATCGCCTTCAATCACCAGATCGTTGAATGCATAGAAATCAGCAAACAATTCTCCATTCTCGTTCATTTTAACGAGCGCTTCTCGACCCATGGTTAGTTCTCTTCCTGTGTTGTCCGCTCCCTATTCGGCTTTCATGTCACCCATTAGAATTTTGATGTTGCCAACTGGGGTGGAGTCTTGTCCAGTGTTGATTGCAGTTGTGTGTAGAATTTCTTTTTCTTCTCTTCATCTGCATTATTTGTAGGTGCGTAGTGTAACATTGTATGATTGTGACCTCCCTTCCCTTTGAGTTGAATCCATTTTGCTGTCATGATCGTGGAGATTGGTTCCCACTGCATGAGAGCCTTCGATGCTGTTAGGGACATCATGATAATCACTCCAGAACTCTGTGTGCTTGTGATTGTCGTCTGTGTGGCAATACCGGAGTAGATTATTGATTCTCTAGTTGACAGTTTGGAGAGTCCACTCCCATTCCACCTGCTCTCAAAAATTCCACGCACTTCTATGCCATATCTTCTGATCGCTTTAGCAATTTGGGCAGCCTTCCATATCCCCACGTTTATTTTCGCTTTCATGTGAGGAGAGAAGATACATCGGCCGACTGGCTTCCCGAAGTCTTTCACCAAGTCTCGTCATTTCGCCTCTCCGATTCCAGCGAGGAGCAATTTTTTTATATTTTTTATATTTCGTTTATGCTTTGAAGTTTCTTTAGCGGTTAGATTTGTTTTACGCGGTAGGTTAGCTAGCCGTATGCTCAACCTTCCGTGTTTATCCGGTCTTAGGACCGGCTATTAACTAGTGAACTAGTTACCCAGGCGAGGTTACCACAAAGTTTAGGTGAATATTTAAATATGACAACAAGATCCAAATTCACAGCTTGTTCGGTTGAGTCCGGTTTGATGCATATATTTGAACAGTGTAATCGAGTGACGAAGATTATTTGTTTAATATGGTATATTTAAGGAATACTTTTCGAACAATCTCTTCACATGCTCACTTATACCAGTCAGCATAAAAATCGGAGAAAGGTAGGATGAATGAACAATTAAGATAAGAGACGATCTTTACTATCCGAATGAAATTACAGGCAGCATCGAGGCATTCACGCAAGGGCGATATACCAATAATTGCCGGTCAATCAGCAATGAGAAATTACAAGCAATAAGATCTATCAGTAATCGATTGGTTTCAATTTTTTAAATATCTGCTGCAAATTATGTGACCGTAACCACAGAAACACTTAACCTGAACCAAAAGTTTCTTAAAGAAGAGTCTTAAAACTATCTGATGTTATAAATGCTGCTTATTTATTGATTCTGGTAAGTAAAAGCACCATATCAAGGTTTTGCTTCTAAATTCAGTCAGCCTAGGTGAATTATAATTATTATGTCACCATACTACTCGGACCAATAACTAGTGTGCACCATTGTACAAACTACTTAGGAAGACTTAACTACAATTATCCATTTTGGTTCAGGTTCTAAACCGGTATTCAGATCTATGAATGTTTCCTCGAAAACCTGGTAGATCGGTCCTTTCGCCGACGAGGAAACATCAGAGAATTGCTTCCTCATGAAAACGAATGCTTCTATCACAGCACCCCACTGACGCCCTCTCAAAACTGACCAATGTAACTCCAGAACCCTTCAAACTTTCAGGATTCAGAGCATTCAAATTCTGTGGATAATCGGGTCGTTTCACCTTACTTTTCTTAACCGTGGTCAGATATGCGTGGGATATATCTTACTGAGCCTTCAAAGTCTCGCAGAATAAAATGCAGTTCACCCTTCTCTGGAAAGATATCCCACCAACAAGCCTTCACCGTGAAGCAATAATGCTACGAGGTTCAAAGTGGTGGCTCCTTTTGCTTTACTGATAAAGAGCCAAAGATAAGTCAGGCGAAACCTGGAATTCAGGACCAAATATGTTTCACCTCTACAAGATAAATCTCATCCATCTCTATGGACTGCTTTAACAACCGTGACTGCTAAAACTAGGGAGCTTGATTCCCTTACTTTTCGGTTACACTACTCCCAGTGCACTAGGTGGAGTCCCAACGGTTAGCTAGGCCGCCTGTTCTTTATAAAGCTGAGTCTCTGATCTGTGCAGACAGACCACTTTGAGCGCGGTTTTCGTTAAGTCAGCTTGATTGTGTACTGACTGATGTCAAAATGAGCCACAAGAAGGCTTACTGTCTTCGCTAAGTAGGCTTGACTCGCGGTCACAAACGCCTACACCATCTAACCGCTCCGTGAGGAGCTTCTTCACATTGACGCCTTGGTATATAACCATGGTGCAGACATTTGACTACATTAAGAGAGTCATAGTTACTCTGTAGATAACTCAAGCATATGAAAGCCTTGTTCACTCAATGTATTTCAAATTCAGTCTTGCACTACGAAAACAATATCACTAACAACGTCAAACTATAAAATGACATGGGTAATAGCTGAGCAAATAGGATGAAAACAGTAAATGTAAACTAAAAAGCTTGTAGTCAATGAGGGAGAAAAGTACATGACGTCATTTCATAGTAACTGAAATATAAGTTTCAACGACATTTATCCTATTCGGCTTTCTCTCTGAAACTTTCTCATGTTATCGGCACTTTAGGTGTTCTCGAACTCTTTCTGTATGAATACTGTACAAGATTACTTTTGCTGATGAAGGCAGTTTGATTTAATGAAGTGTCATACACATTTCGGGGGTACGGAAAAGTTTAAAAAAGAATATGACAGATAAATGATTATTTTTTTCATCTTTTTCTGAAAGTAAATCCACTATATAGTACAGAACTAGCTGAAGAAGACGAGTGTGGTGAAACGAATAAAGATGGCAATAAATAAAAGTCACGTGTATTTATCGAAAGATTTCTCAATATCCTAATCCTTCGGCAATGATCTACACATAGCCTACCGATTTCTTTTCAACATTCAAACTAATTATTACTATTAGTTTTCCCTAGGGTCCGTAGTGGAACATAGAGCTCCACTAGCACACCTCCATTCCACTCTCTTCTCTCCAGGCTTTTCAACTCGGCTCCAACAATGCACACAACCTTTCATTCCTTACTCACATCATCTCATCCATGTCAACCTACGCCCACACATCCAACTCGTCGTTTCCCATCTGGGTTCCACTCGAAGGTCTAGTCTGGCTTGACGAGTGATGTCCACAATCGGTCTTCTCAGTGTATGCCCAATCTAATCCATCTCCACCACCTTCTTCTGAATATTTGTTAGGTGATAGCTTGTTAGTTGATTGGTTCGTTACCAGAGTGACTTCCTCGTTGCTTATTCTTATTATTCTCGCCATCTGACCTTATTTATGGAGTATAGGCAACTGCTGATGAATATCTGTAGTTTGTTGGAAATGCTTATTGTGATGCACCAACTTTCTGAACTGTCACATAGAAGCACTAACTTACTTGACTAAATTGCTGTTGAAAATTCGGATGTTGTTCACGCTTTATGCTGAGTGCAGTAGATCTTCACAGTGATTTCAGATTCAAATTAATACTGAATAAAAAAACTTTTCAGCTGTGAAAAAATTTTAACATGGAGAGTACAATTTGTAGATGATTTACAAACTGCCTAAACATCGCCTCATACTCTAAATTAGAACCAATAGGAAATGACCTCACTTCTTATTGGCCAATTGATACAACTTCAGTTTTAGTATATGAGATGCTTTTACATTTCAACAATATAAACAGAATATATAACATTTTCCATCATAATATTCTTTTTATTATTCCTTTTATTTAAATTATTCTTATCTTTTGTATGGATGGAATCAAAATTAAAGATGATACTTTATCATCAGCATCATCATTGCCTAGAACGGTATATGCAAATCATCTTGTAGCCTATTCTCCAGTTACATTTTCAAATGTCTATGAATGGTGTAATAATGAAATTCAAACATCAATTTATACAATATGGAATTTTATACCAAAAATTCTATATGAACAATTACATTATATGTCAAATATATTTTTTCTTTTTGTTGCTATCATTCATTTATTTGCTGATGGTGCTACATCAATATTTGCAATTATTGGACCATTATCATTTGTTTTACTAGTAACATTTTTAAAAGATGCTATTTATGATATAATGAGACATCGTAGAGATAAACAAGTTAATGAAAGACAATATCCTGTTATGTATATTGATCAAGATAATCGAACAATTCAATGGAAATCTGTTCAATCTCAAAATATACGTGTAGGTGATGTCATTTTGTGTAAAACAGATGAAGAATTCCCATGTGATCTTATTATATTAGCAACAAGTACTAAAGATTGTTCATGTCGTATGACAACAGTTAATTTAGACGGTGAAAGTGCAATTAAAACACATTATTCTATATTAGATACACATAATATATATGAAAATTTTTTTAATGATTCAATACTATTTACATTCAATGACCAATTTGATGAAAAAATGAAATCATTATATATCAAAGTTGAGTGTCAACAACCAAATGAAGATTTTACTAATTTTGAAGGTCATATCACTTTAACTAATGGTAAAATGAATCAACCATTGAAACTATCGAATGTTTTATTCAGAGGTGCTAAATTGAAAAGTACACGATGTATTATTGGTTTAGTTGTTTATACTGGTCGTGATACTAAACTATTATTGAATTCAACACAACCTAGACGTAAATATAGTTCTCGTGAAAGTAAAGGAAATCTAATCCTTTTCACCTTTATGCTTTTTATGTCAGCTTTCTGTATAATCTTTTCTATAATGACACGTAACTGGTCTATGAATCATTTAACAAATCCATTTATTCCAAAAACAGATTTCAAATATTGGTCACAAGTAAAAGGTGTATTTCGTTTCTTATTTATTTTAAATTATTTAATACCAATATCATTAATTATTACAGTAGAACTTCAACAAATTCTTGCAGCTTATTTTGTATCATCTGATATAGAATTATATGATTATGAACAAGATATTGGAACAAAATCAAATACTCCACAATTAGTTGATGAATTAGGTCAAATTAAATATTTATTTAGTGATAAAACTGGTACACTTACACAAAATGAAATGATTTTGCATACAATGGCTGTATTGAATACAGACAAAGTTTATGTATTCACTGATCATTTTCAAAGTGTCAATAGTATTAAAGATAATACAATAAATGATACACCATATATTTGTAAATCTGAAATTAATAGACTGAAAGAAATTTCTAGAAAAATAAATAAATTTGGATGTATAGGTATTGTTTATGAAAAGTTAAATGAATTAAATAATGAAAATTATGAAGAAAATTTAGCATTTATATCATCATCTGATTCAGAAGAAAGTGAAGAGGAAGAAACAGACTATAGAGATGAATTTACCAAGAAAATGAATGAAACTATTAGGATGAAAAAAAGTTATAATAATAAACTATCAATTGAATCTTCTTATCAATTGACATCTAATACACAATTACCAAATGAATTGATTAAATGTTTAACAATTTTAGCACTGTGTCATACAGTAGAAACAAATGGAAATGATGATGAAATACAAAAGTTTAATGATAAAATTCCTCAATATTTGGATAAGGATAACTTTTATCAGGTAAGAAATATAGTGAACATTGAAAATTGTTTTAACCAGTCAAAATATCCTGTTTTCATATTATCATATATGAAGTTGACGAGTGTTTGGTATATACAACTTATCTTCATATCTATCCGTACATGTCTAACTTACCGATATTGATTAGTCATTGGAGAGTAACCAGTTTGATACTGTCTAGTTCTCAGTATCCTAGAATATGCAGATGACATAGTCCTGTTAGGTGAAGACGCTGACTGATGAGATGCAGAGTCTTCTGAACACTTTGAGTTGGAATTTGAGAATGTTTGGGATGCGATTTTCATCACCCAAATGCAAATTTTTTCTCCAGGACTGGTCTTCAGCGGTACCGCGGCTAACAATAGAGAGTGAAGTGGTTGAGTGTGTTGACCACTTCACTTACCTGGGAAGTAGGATCAACCCCGGTGGGTTAGTTGCCGATGAGATTTCTGCACGGATACAAAAGGCTCGATTGGCTTTTGCCAATTTGCGCCACCTATGGCGCTGCCGTGATATTCGTTTATCTATTAAGGGTCACGTGTGCTGCGCAGCAGTCCGGTCTGTTCTACTGTATGGCTGCGAAATATGGCCATTGAAAGTGGAGGATATAAAAAGGCTTCATGTGTTTGACCACCATTGCCTTCGTGGTATAGGATGTGTTCCGTGGTGTCACCATGTGAGTAATGCAGAAGTTAGGTGTAGAGTTTTGGGGAGAAGAGGTAAGTCAGTTGACGAGGTTGTGAACCTTCATCGTTTGAGATGGTTGGGACACATACAACGTATGCCTAGTCACCGATTGCCTCGTCACACAATGTTGGCTGAGGTGGGTCCAGGCTGGAAAAAGGCTCGAGGTGGCCAAACTAAAACATGGCACCAATGTCTGAAGTGTTTGACTGTTGGTTTAAGCCATGTGGGGCGATGCAGACTAGGTGGTTGGGGTTGGCGGGACAAGAGGAACCAGTGGTTGGAGACTCTAGGTGATATTGCTCAGAACCGATGTGAGTGGTGCAGATGTATACACATTATATCCATCTTAGCGACGCTATACCGAATGTCACCATTTTGTCATTCCTCCTTTCTTTCTTCTCGTACTTAATATTTCTTTTGAGTGCATTCTCTTATCTTCATCCTTCACCTCACTACCTTTTTACTTGATGTGCTGATATGAGGTGTGGTAACTCGGAGTGTTACGCAGTAATGCCTGGTCCTATGTTGATAATGATGATGATGAGTTCTAAGTATCTACCGATTTCGATCGATCATTTCACAGTGTGGTTATCAGGCTAGCAGGCTGAACCATCGCAGTACATTTGAATGAGTGTTGGTTAGTTGGAGATGATAGGAAGAAATTCTTTGTCAATCTCGGTCTTCTCTTTGTTGACACTCATGATGTTCTATCTCAGATTCAAACCTGCTTCATCCAATGTTACAGTGAGCGACGTAACCACACTGACTAACAAAAAACTAATACAGATTATTAGGTAGACTTTAAAATATTCTAAGTTACTCTTGGTTCCCTGTATAACATACAGTGATCGTTACTTCAGTACTGAATGATCCGAGAACAATTATATTTTTATTTATTCAATTTTTGTAAAAAGATATCCCAAGTCACTGAAGTTATAGCACTATAAAACATTAATACACATATATTGGTGAACTCAGTCGTACATTACTTATATGGAAATGTAGTCTGTAGGATTCAACATTTGAACTCCAACTGATAGGTAATGAATTCGAATCCACACTCTTGTTGAAGATGCAACAGCTGGTTTTCATTACAGCCCCCAAACAATATTTGAACCTTTAATTGAAGGTTGAGTACTTTTACCATCCAAGTACATGCATTGATTTATCGTGGTAGCTAACAACAGAAAAGAGACCATAAATTTTAATGAGTCATTAAATACGTTTTATGCTATCACGCGTTACAATGCGATTATCATAGACACATTAAAAACATAAAGTTATCATGAATGAAACAAATACTGTCAAGTAGAAGATATTTTACTAAAATCAGTTATTTGTACAATATCAACGTGAAGCAGGTACATCCAACTGACGAGTCCCAAATAGGACGAAATGCGCATCCTGGATTCCACTGCTAGCCACGATCCATCATTAACCTAATCATCTTTGGTCAAAAACGTGAAATACTTGACTAAATGAAAAATATTTGATTAATTTCAAAATGAAATTTCATCAATCACTGACATCAACTAGGCAAACAATGAAAACTAAGAACCACTTGAAAGATATTGTGACCTATATTCCAGTGGAGATCTAAAACTATATTGAGGATCGAACTGAAAGCAACCAAATTCTACAGCAAGCAGACTATTATCAATTGACTGGATCACAATCCACTGTTTTGTACTTCTTATTTACGTCAATTCACAGTGTGATGGAACCATGATCTAATGATATCAGCATCCATTTGTCTTAAAGAATAATCAAGTGTTCTTAGAAGTCACTCAAGTCGTTGGAATAGATGAAATAAGTAATGATTACCTAAAATCACAAAGTTAGAAATATATAAATCTCATGACATATCCACTACCTTTCAATCAGTTAATATATTCCCACTCTGAAAAGTGATAACAAAGTATAGCTATCAGATAAGCCAGTTGGTTTATCAGGTTTTGTGTATTCGAACTGTCTGAATGTAAAACAGTAGAAGGTAGTAGAAATTTACTAATAAAGATAAACAATTTTTCATAGCATAGTATTCATAGAAGACAACCTGAAATAACATTCAAGATTTACATGATTATTATTATTATTACATTATTTTTCCGTTGGGTTCCTAGTGGAACATAGAGCTCCACTAGCACACCTCCATTCCACTCTCTTCTCTCCAGGCTTTTCAACTCGGCTCCACCAATGCACACAACCTTTCATTCCTTACTCACATCATCTCATCCATGTCAACCTACGCCCACACATCCAACTCGTCGTTTCCCATCTGGGTTCCACTCGAAGGTCTAGTCTGGCTTGACGCGTGATGTCCACAATCGGTCTTCTCAGTGTATGCCCAATCTAATCCATCTCCACCACCTTCTTCTGAATATTTGTTAGGTGATAGCTTGTTAGTTGATTGGTTCGTTACCAGAGTGACTTCCTCGTTGCTTATTCTTATTATTCTCGCCATCTGACCTTATTTATGGAGTATAGGCAACTGCTGATGAATATCTGTAGTTTGTGATGCACCAACTTTCTGAACTATCACATAGAAGCACTAACTTACTTGACTAAATTGCTGTTGAAAATTCGGATGTTGTTCACGCTTTATGCTGAGTGCAGTAAATCTCCACACGGATTTCAGATTAATGCAGGAAGTCCTGTCTTGCTGTCTTTCCGATGCTGGCTTCTTTGACATCCTCGTCTTTGCCTATGCCTGTGCCTGTGTCACCTGTAGTAGAAACGATGCTGCCTTGTCTAGGTAGATGAAAGAGACAATTTGCTTTAGGTTTCTACTGTTCATCGTGATTGTAGCTTGTTGTTGTTAGTGGTGGTGTTGGTTGGGTATCATCCTCACCTATGTCTCCTCTACGTCCACTTGAAGTTCCGTCTTCCTTCGTTGTGTTGTCCTGCCTCACCTCTTCTATCAACTTGTTAGTTTTCACCTGTAGATCTTCGAGTTTGTGCGACAAGACATTAGACACTAATCATCTGTGAAGTCCAAATCTTCTTCTGTGGTCTTTTCCGTGGTCCAGCCAGCGTATGCTTCACTTCTCACTCCTCACAGTTTGTCGCGTGATCCACTCCAGTCTAGTCGACCACAATCAGGAAGATCATGGGTGATGTTAGGCAGTGGAAAGTAAATTTTAAAAAATTCTTTATAAGATAAAATGCTTTACAGGTTATGTCCACTTTAAATCAGGTGACTAAATAAGTAAGTATCAGTTGTTTTATCTTCCATGGTTTGAAGAATTTTTAGATGTCAAGCTTTCATGAAGTTCGAATAAAGTCTATAGATAACACTAAAGTTGTTTTTTCTCTATTCAATTAAATTTTTTAAGATATAGCTTTGATGTAATTTCCTTTTTTCTCCTTTGAAGTAAGCTGATATATAAGCTAGAAATATGTTTAGAAAGTTAACGGTGTGCATAGCTAACATCCTTTCCACTACAGAAGGAGATGGATCATTAAATAAACACAGAGGTGTTCAGTTGAGGTAATTCATCCTATGCGCTTAATTAAACCATTGAATAAGTAGCGAAATTTTGTCTGAGTTTGGCAGTATATATATATATATATATAATATGATTTAATCGATTTTACCTGATGGTTTTGTTTTTACGAAGTCTTGGACAGAAACTGGACTGAATCTGGCAGTATGACATGATGGAAATAGTACATTTATCTTGTAATAATTCAGAAATTATCTCAGCTATATTTTGAGCATAGAGATACTTTCAATTACTAGTTAATAGTTTTTTTTCTCTACTTACGGTAGCTGAGTTGTAGAATAGTTAAGTTTTGTTGTCCAAAGACTATTACTTGATTTATTCTATACGTTAATTCAAATTCATTATTATACCATAGGTTATTAATTCTTTGTAATCTAGTTGCAGTTTTGAATTGAATGAAACTGATTATTCAGGTTAAAAGATTGAATAACAGATTAAATCTGAATGGGCTTAAGATAACTGACTAGTTGAAACCAGAGTTACATCCTAATTCAACTTCTAAAAGTATAAGAAAAAGGAAAATGTGTAGAAATTCTAACATTTCCCAATTTTATCTACCCGCTATCCAATTATCCTATATGAGCATAAAATTTTGTAATTTCTGTGTTACTGAATCCTTACAAATCCTTTACACTTCGTAGTATTTCTGACACATGGAAGATAGTGAAAAAATTGTTAGCTTCGATGTAACTAGTCTATATACTAAAATACCAATCAATATGGCACTGGAGACAGTTAGAAATCAACTAAATCTTGACTCAGAACTTACGGAACTAAGATATCGGTTGATGAGTTTATATTTAGGCA